AGCAATGGTCCCAGGGCACCCACCCAGGCAGACTATTAGCATGACAGCCCATGAGTCAATTGCAACAGAGCCTTGCTGAAAGCAACAGAGCAAGAAGAGACCTGAGCAGCACAACACACTTAATGCCAATATGCTCTGATGGGGCTGCAATAGCGAGCAAGCTGTTTAACTAGATAGGACTTCTGAGCAGCACAAAAAGAAACAGAAGCACTGTTCCTGCAGCAATCAAGAATGCTAATAAAAGGATTTCACACAAAGATTAGCTGCAAAATACTTCTTTGGTGCCCTAAAGGGTAGTATTTAAGTATGTGTCTAGCAATTTTCTTTCCAGATTTAAAGTAGGCACAGTGTTCCAATCCAGATTAGAACCCTAGTCTGGAGTTCAGGTAGCTTTTAAGATTTGGTTCAAGGAACCTGCACCCACTGAATACAATAAAGATGAAAAGACATAGCTGCTAGATACACACCTTATGTCCATTTTGGTGCTTGGCTAGGATAGGAGAAAGAGTACACAAAACTCTAAGAAAGATAGATTATGATTGAAACTGTGTATGGCTCTTGAGCTCTGAAAGAACCACTGGGAGCCATTCCCACGGCTTGTGATGTTACCCCTTCTGAGTATTCATGCACGGAATAAGGATTGCATCCATTTTCATTTTGTGCCCCTACATTTGTTCGAAGAATCTGTTGCCTCTTGAATATAATGCTGGTAGTGATTGGCCTACCAGGGGCTGTATGCGTCTTGATTCAGTGTAACATGCAATTTATAAAATGTCATGAGCACAGCACTGATTCCTTCCACTGAAGGAATTTAGAAATGATGAAATATTACAATGTCAGCTTTATCGCCTGGATAATTTTGCAACAAACTAGATTGCTTGTCTATCAACCGTGAACTGTTACAATTGATAGCAGCCTTATTTCTGTTCTACTCCCAATACACAAAAGGACTGATACTCACTCCACCAGTCCCCTGAATATCAGCCTGGCTAGCTGAAGAACAAAGAGGGAAATTGTAGCTTTAAACTGGACTTTTTCAAGTGGGGTGGGATCTGACTAATGCTCCAGTTGGTAGGAAGGTCAGTGCAAAGGAAAGATTCTAATTTCATTGCCACTCATTTGGTATCAAGAAACTTAAAAAATGTAGGAGAATTTTGATTTTGCTTGCAAAGCATGTGAACATGCCCTGCTTGAAGCTCCAAATGGGAGTGTAACTACATGTCAGCTGGAAATATTTACAAATGGTCAGACATGTAGTTGAATTCATCTGGTTCCTAATTCTCAGTTCAATTTGTACTAAATTTCCTGATGTGTGCATATTTCCTCAGCAGGCTGAATCACCCCTGCTTGCATATGGAAGACATATGTGCAAATTCAGGAAGATTTGCACACAGGTGGGGAGATCTGTGAAAATGTCCCATTTGATCACTGCTCAATTTGTACAAGGTTCCCTTTCACACAAAGCATCCAACAATCAAAAATACGAAAGGGAATCAGACATGAGATTAGTGGCTGTCAGCTCTGGGATGTAAATAGCAAACATTCTTAACTAGAACACCAAGTGATGGAGGTGGATGGGGAACTTGGCAAAACGTAGCAGCAGCAGAAAGAGGCAGGAATCAGAAAGAGGCAGGAATTAAGATGCTGCAAAACTGAGGGCAGCTACCGGATCAGGAATATGAAGCAGGCACCACAAAGTCTCATACTGTGGTAGTATATCAAGGCAGGACTGAGAAGGCTTTTACAGAGCTGGTCTTCATGACTGTGCTGGTTCTACTCCTTGCAAGCATCTAAAGGTTTGATCCCAATCCTGCAATTACTTGCAAAGTGAATGAGCTTGCCTTCTCTATTAAGCCGGTAGGGGGAGCCACATCACCTTGTAGATCCTGGCAGTGGCAAGCTGATCACAGAAACCCAGCCTTTTCCCATCATCTTGCTCCTTGAGTATTGGAATTCTAAGTGCTACTGACTGCTAGGTTAAAAGAGCTGCCATGTGCTCCCTTCTACTGGAATTGCCTCTTTTGCAGTGGAGTGGCAAGGAAGAGGGTTTTAAAGCCATTTGGTCTAATTTCATTGTTCATTCTCTCTGCCTTTTATTTGTACACTGTGCAAAATCCAGCACTGTAATACCATCAGGGATGGCTGCTAGAACAACAGGAAGCTAGTGCTTGACAGCACAACCAGAAACATGCCCAAACTAGCATTTCCACAATGTGACAAATCAATAGAGCTCTCAGAGGGAAGCTATGCTGATTTGGCCGATTCTGGAAACACATTTTCCTCATTACACTAGAGCAAGGGAAGCATTGGGAACTGCCCATTACATATTGCCCTGTTCAATCTTGGGCAAGGGGTTTCCCCAGCGCTTATTGAGGCATGTCCCAGCAAAGGGGTGAAATACAACCAACAAATGCCAGTTTGTGTTTTCTTAATTTCTGGGCCACAATAAAAGTATTTTGCACCTTATATTAGGTTGTATCCAATAACAATTTACCTTAAGCCACAGTTCCTTAAACAGTTCTATTCTAAGTAAGCCTAAAACTGAATACAGCCCCTTGCAGGAAATATTTGTATCTGGGATTTGCTGCCCTTTGAATCTTTTTCTTTTGTGTAGGAAGGTAATGCGAATACAAATGGTTAAAAACACTTTTTTAAAAAGTTAAAAAAAAAAAACCTCATTGGATTTTGAAGATGCTATGGAATAAGGTTGAGGGAGAACTCCCTTCCGTTACTCTAACACCCCTCCATCCAGCTACCCTGGCACAGACTGAGTATATACATAGCAGCCCAGCATCTTTACCATCCTCCAGTGGACACAACGGGCCCAGGTTCCTAACAAAATTGTTCAAGAAAATAACAGTGAGAAAAAAGACAATGCGTGTATATTAAAACCCTACTTTATTCCAGACAAAGAATCTAGGATTGCTAAGCATTCAGTTCAATCCTGCTAGCAACCTCCTTCTCAAATGCCCGTATCTATCAGTGATCTATGGAGCCCTGTGCACAAAAATCAAGATTGTACAAACTCACACCTCACTGTAGCTGAAGTCTTCTCTCCAGGCTGCCTCTTTAGAAATTCTCGTCTTGGGTTCACAGCTGCAAAGTTTCCCTGACAAATGGGACACCTACAATGCCTCCTCCAAGGGCTGAGTGACCAGCTTCACCGAGTAATGGGAACAGGCTGAGCCACTGCAACTTTTTTTAAAAAGTTTAAAAAAAAAACCTCATTGGATTTTGAAGATGCTATGGAATAAGGTTGAGGGACAACTCCCTTCCATTACCTCTCCTTTGGCCTCTCCTTGCTTCAAGACCAGGCTTTTGTCATGTGCCCACCTGCCTCATGCATGGAATTTTACAGAGGTTTCATCTGCTGGTTATCCTCCCGCGTTCTCCCATTTCTTCCATCTTATTCCTTCATGCAGAATGCTGCACAGTGCCCTGGCACTTTTTTGTGCAGGACTTCCTTTGTCCCCAGGCACTCAAAACCACCCCCCCCCCCCCCCCCCCCCCAATAGCATTGTGTCCTGTTATTTCACATTTTGCAAAATATAAAATAGGTGACATGGCCAAGAGCAAGACTGAGTAGCAGTGGCTGCCTGTCCTTTCCCTGAAATGCCTTCATCTTGGGTCACATGAGGAGTGAGAGGAATTGGTGGCACTGGCTTTGTCACTGCCACCATCCACAACTTTCCCAGCTGAGGATATGGCAGCAACAGCCACTGAACGAATATCCTTCCTTCTCTGTTTGCCACTTATCCCCTTCCCTGCTCTTGCCCCTGCTTGCATTTTGGGTTGAAATGGCACTTTCTCTTCTTATACAGATGGAACCGAGTGGCTTTGCTAGCCTTCTGTGCAAGTCTTTTCCTGCACAAGCTGAAGCAGTGGCAAACTAAGGGCGGACTTGGGGTATGTGCTGGTTTATTTGGGTCCCACCTCCAGTTGTTCCACAAAAGATGCTTTGGGAGTTCTGGCAGGAAAGAATGCCAGGATCAGGGACAATAGTTACTCCAAGCCACTAGGCCCACTCTCGCTCGCTCTCACACACTCAAACACAGGAGATCTTAGCCAGGCAGCAGGTGGTGCAGCTGTGAAAGGGACTGTTTGCTGTTTCCTCATCTCCACACACATCTTGCACCTCAAGTTGTGGATCTCAGACATACACACACAAATACCTGAGAAGCAGAGTGCTTCAAAATGGGAAGAGGAGGTGGTGGTAACAAGATAGGATAGGGAAAGAGGCGAGAACACTGCCCAAATGGCTAGGTTGCGACCACTTTTGTGGATGGAACAGAGCAAGAAAAAATTGGATTCCTTGGAGTGTAGAAGATTAATTCTAGGTTATACTGTTTTGTAGCATGAGAAGCCTTCTGTCTGGAGGTACCCTTAAGAAGCTTTCATGTATATCCAGCATTTAAATAAGAACCCATAAGGGAAAACTGTTTTCTCAAGAGCACGGAAAAACAGCTTGTGATGTGGAGTGCATCATGCAGCTTTCTGAGCAGCACATTTTTAAAGCTACTTTCTAGCCCTTACTAAGTGCTTGAAAGCTTTGGGGCAACGCCTAGCCAACTTCTCTCAGGAGCTGCAGAACCTACCTTCAGCTGCCCCAGGTGAAGGTGCACAGCAGGTTGCAAGCACCTCAGTGAAGTACCTGGAAGCACTGGACTGACTCCACCCACCCCCTCTGTTGCTGGATCCTCTCGAACAGGGAAGCATGTAGGGCTTCCCATTCCAGCTGAGCCTTGCTTGGGGAACAAGGCTGCCTACACAATGACATGCTTGTGGTATTCTGGAGTCCTGCCTACAGACTGGCCCCATGGCTCCTGATCCCATTTCCTGGCTCACCACCTGTGCCTCAACCCTGACATCTTCAGAAATTGGAAGAATTGCGGGTAAAATCTCCAGTGGTAAACTAGTGGAACTTCAAGTGCCCTGTATGGCTACTTAGCCATCCCTGTGACTAGCAGAAACAGGGAAAAAACCACACATGAAAAACAGTAAGCATTGCAGAATCAATGAACTTTTTAAAGCCCAAAGCACTTGCATCTTCTTGGCTGTAGCTCAAGAATAAAGCACATACTTTGCATGTATAATTATAGTCAATTCTTGGCATTTCTTGTTGGAAACTTTCAAAGAGGCAGGATGCAAAAGATCTGTCTAGCTGAAGAAAGACCAACAATCTGACATAGTATACGGTGGCTGCTTTATCTTCAGAATGTCACAAAAGGCTGTGGAAACATGGCCTTGTGGAACAGGCTCAGGCAGTGCTTCAGTGTATTATCAGTGAAACCTTGTATTATCCTGCTGCATCTGTTCTAGACAAGACAGCAGCACTTCCATGGGCTTAAACACAGAATGTCTCACAGAAAGCAAAGGTGGAGTTTAAGAGTGAAAACACAAACAGTGCCTACATGCAGAATGCAGAGGCATCTGCTTGGATACCAAAACATGTGCTGGGAAACAGGGAAGCCTTCTGCACTCCTAACCCACGTCTTTCCTGCTCTGTCTACACGATCAAGACCACTCTGAGTTCAAGGCAGGAGTGCCGAAGCTCTGGATTCCCCATCCTCTTTCCACGGATTGCTTGGCGATTTCTAGGCTTTGTGCTGTTTTCCCCCATTCTAAAAGGTTGAAATGTTTCTCCTACAGTTTTGTTACCAGCAGTGCACCAGTTGGTGGGGAGCATGGCCGGGAGGGTGCTGTTGTACTCATGTCCTCCCTGTGGGATCCTGCAGGCAGCTGGCTGCCTACCATGTGAGCAGAGCAACGGATTGGATGGACCCTTGTTCTGGCTCAGTATGGCTCTCGTGTTTCTGTGTTTTGTACTTCTGCCCCCTTCCCTTTCCCGTTTGACACCATGCGCCACTGAAACGCAGCTCTCAGGCTGAACGAGGTGTTGCACGCCTGGTTTAACGACATGAACCTGCCACCATCACCTTCTGGGTTAGCCCTACGTCCATGCCACCTTCCTCGACATGGCCTGTTTGAAGCTCTCCATGTCCACCTCTCCTGGCCACAGAGCTCTCTCCAAACCCACGAGCAGGTTGCGGTGGCACTCCTGGATGTTCACAGGGTGCCTGGCTCTGACAAACCCGTAAGCGGCCAGCAGCCTCATGTGATGCTTGACCATCAGGTACTGGATGACGCAGGTTGGAGCCAGCGAGTAGCCGTCCCTGCAATGAATCAGCACCCGCTTCCGTTTCTCCAGAGAGGCTTCGATGCACTCGTTGATGTCCCAGAAGCACGGCTGCTGCAGGGACAGGCACTCCTCCTCCAAGGGCCCCTGGAGGTACACCTTGAGGCGGGGCCAGCTGTGCTGGGGCCCTCGGCCACAGGTGCAGGGGATGAAGTTCAGCCCATAGTCCCCAGGCAAGCTGCTCATGTCGATGATGCTGTCGATGTTGTTCTTGCATAGCGCTCGGCCACTGTAAGCTGCGCGGAGGTTCCCCACATAGATGCAGTCTGTGACCTTGCTGATGACGGGCTCCAAGAAGCTGAAGCCCTGCGTGCCTCCTGGATTGGTCCCCGATTTCAAATTCTCATTGTGGGATTTCTTGTAGTCGGAAACAGACAAGGGGCTGGAATCAGATTCAAGGCTGTTACCTCCACCGTTGCAAAGCAACGAGGAGGACTGGGTGGAAGATGGGACCTTGGACAGGGGTTCCACTGGCTTGGGCAGAATGGATCTGGACAAGGAGCTGGCACAGAACAAGGACTTGCGTTCCAGCGAACCCGTGCTCCTGGCTGCCCCACCGCTGTGCACTTGCTTCATCTGTGAAAAGGGAATAAAGGAATCATTTCATGGTCAGCACTTCAGACTAGCCTTCCCCAACTTGGTAGCCTCTGGATGTTTTGGACTACATCTCCCAGCATTCTTCACAATTGGCCAGGCAGGCTAGCGCTGAGAGGAACTGAGGCCCAGTACACCCCAATAGGGCCCTATTTCAGAAGAGGCTGCTTCAGGGATTTTGTACTATTAGATCCACAAATAGGCCATGCTGTCCATCCCATGGATTCTCAACCAGCTGCATCACCCCATTCTTGATCCCCGGAAGACATCTGCACACCTGGGCATCAAGATGTTCTGGAGAGACCAGGCCACGGTACTGCCTGGGGCTGTCTGATGAGAGGGATGAGCAGAGGGCCCGGTGAGTCTTCATCCTCGCCTGGAATGTAGAAGAGGCTTCTCTGCTGCTCTTTTTCTCCAGCACGTCATTCTTGTTCATCACCAAGTCTGGGCAAGAACCTGTAAGAACAGCCACATCCCACAAAGAAAGAGCTATCATGAAGTATCTCCCTTTAGCATAGATCTAGGATGTTCTATGAATAGACTGAAATAGCAACATAGAAACAGAGCGAGTCAGAAGGGGCTTCCCAGGCCATTAGTCTGACCCCTGGGTCCAGCCAGCTCCGCTCCACTCATGACATGCCTACCAATCTGCTATGGGAAAACATGGTTCTTTACCATGGCTACCCCACACCAGCTCTCCCATGTTCCCCAGGAAAAAGCAGCATCAGATAACAAAAGCAAGTAAGTGCCATAGTATAGCCTTCCCCAACCCAGTTCCCTTGAAATGTCTTGGACGACAGTTCCCATTCTCCCTATCCATGGCTTGAAGACAGTGGGTGTTGCGGTCCAACACACCTGAAGGGCAACAGGTTAGGGTTGACAAATGTCCTCCTGCCACTAGGCAGAAATACCTGCCAGTCCACACATAGGCACAGCCTGCTACGTGTTCATCAGCATCGCTAAATACTCCAGTCCTATCAATGCCAGATTATCCCATTCTAGGCTCCTTGAAGGGAAAGTTGCACTGAGAATCCTGGGGCACCCAGTGTCTGAGGTCCTGACTGCCTACAGCAGACTGAGTGCATGGGCAACATGCGTTTTTAATGCCAGCAGGTCACTGGGCCAGCCATCCCAATTAACTCAGACAACCTACCTGCTCATTTTAATCCCACAGGGCCGACTGCGAAGGGGATGCCCGGCCTCCTTGCAATGCAGAACAACAGGCTGTTCTGGCCGAAGGAGCCCAGCAAAGGAGCCACCCCTACCCTGGGCATGCACTTCAGCTTGAGCCAAGGACTCCCAGGCCTGCTCCTGATGCTTTGGGAGCAGGAGCTCAATCACCCACCTCCTGTTCCCAAGCTTCAAGCAGTAGCAAAGGCTCCAAACTGAGTGCCAAGGCTTCCTTGGAAGGAAAGAGATGCAACTCTTGAGGTGTGTGCTGCGTTCATCTACAGGGCTGGGAGGGGGAGGCAGTGAAAGGCATATCGCCAGAAGAACCTTTGGGAACAACACTTCAGGCAAAAAGCAACACCTGCACCACTCTTTTCATGTTCAAGCCCCCAACAGGAAGATCTTTGTTGCCAGTCACAAGCTGGCTGGACCAGTGTTTTGCTGGCCCCTACTGTTTTCCTCGAGAATGTAACTGGGACCATTCAGACCAATTAACTGGACCACACTCTGATCTTGGAGCATGAGGCATGTGAGGTCAAAAGATACACAAGCAGTTGTATCGCTACATGCAACTTTAGCCTGGCCAAGTGGAGACTTACAAACAGTTGCAGCACAAAAAGAAAATGGGGTCCTTGACAAGGACAAAAAGGACTGATGAACCACCTTTTCTTCTGTCTTAACTGCTTGCTTCAGAATGAAGAGAATCTCTCTGTCAGTCCAGAGAACAAGACTGGACTGTTCTCCAGGTTAAAATGCATATCATTTGTCGCTCTTCAAAGCATGGCAGCATAAAGGATCCAGAGACTCCTTCATTGATGCACTTTTTTCCGGAGGTGTAACTCCTTGCCATGTGCTTTTTTCAGTAGGAAATGAAATGTGAGGAGAAAAGGAAGGATTTATGATACTCAGAAAAGGTGAGAGTAGAATACATGCAGGGATATTGGAGGCTGCCTATTGATCCATCTAATCCATTTTGTCTACCCTTGAGGGTAGATAAGGGGATTTTCAGAGTTTCAGGCAGGACCCTTTGAACTGGAGAGGCCAAAGGAGGAACCTGGGATTTTCCACATGCCGAATGGGTGCTTCAGCCCTGAGCTGTGGAGTCCTCAGGATTAATGGCTACAGTGCAAGCTGAGAAAGGGTACAGAGAGAACGGGCTGTGACATAACAGGGAGGGACTAGAAAGAGAGCAGAAAGCAGGGCAGGAGGGGCCCTCCATTTCCTCCAGGATAGCTCCTTGCTGTGGACTGCACACACAAGACACAAGAACTGGAAGAGGGCTGGAAGGAGGAGATGGTGTCTCCTAATCCTTCCAGCCCCAGGAAATCTGCACCACCTCACACATACAAAATCTGCAAGCCCAAAGGATAGGTAAGGGCAAGGCTATAGCCTGGATGGATCCGGATCAAGAGGATTTTGCTCTGTCTTGCAAAATGTAGCTGTTATCTTTCTAAAGGGAAGAAAACCTTTGCAGAGAAAATCAGTTCAAGCTGGGGCCCCAACAAGGCTTCTGTGTCATACTCAGCAAAATGGTATCACTACAGCATTCCATGTGTCCTGCTCTTCTTTACAGCCTGGGATTCAGATTCTGTATGTAAACACAGGAGAAGAATACAAAAGGAAGGCAGCATCTTTAAACATCTCACAAGCATCACCTACTTGTACAGTGATCCGAAAGAGTCATGGGGGAAGGCAGATGCAAGGCCTTCCAAAGGTGTTTTGAAAGCAAACCTGGAAATCAAGAAAAAAGGCACATGGGCAAGGCATGTAGTAGCAGCTGACCAGACAAATCCAAGGACAAAAATAAAAGTACATGTTAAAAACTGGTGCACATAACAGGTAGGCAATGGACCTGCTTCACCTCCTAATGGATGCAATGCTCACGGTCCTCATTATGCCAATGAACCACAGAATAGAGCGTCAGCAGAGAATGCTGAGTAAGTCTCACTGAATTTAGTCATACTTCGTTCTGGGTAGATGCACATAGGAACAAAGAAATTATGGTTTTCCAAGGCAGAACCAGTGTGGTGTCGTAATTAGAGAGCTGGACTGGGGTTCAGGAGATCCAGGTTCTAGTCTGCACCTGGCCATGAAGTCCACTGCCTAACCTAACACATATTCTATTTTTTGCTCTATAATCCTTTACTGAAAAAGCATAGACATAGAATATTAATTTGACTTTAAAAGCAAGCCATGCAGGTCTTCAAAGTGCTTCTGAAAGAAGCACAAGCACACCTAACACAAGCAAAAGTAACATCAATGAGTAACCGTAGTCGGGCCAGCAATCGGATACCAATAATAAAAATCTACCAGCAGCTTTTGCAAATCTTCCTAGAACAAGCAGAACTTTCCCCACAAAACACAACTGGCAGAGCAAGGCGTCTGCATACCCCAAGCTGGAATTTATTCCACAGCAGCAAGGCTGCATTCCATTCAGAATTTGGGCCAAAGCAAATTGAGTCTAACAAACCAATCCCAGGTCTATTGTGCAAGGGCCATTCCACCAGAGCAATGTAATGAGTCACAGAGCTGCATTAATACAGCAAAACATTCAGAAAGTTGCAGTAATGAAGTAATCCAGAAAATGGCTGCCGCCCTGTGAAATACCCAGGGTGAGGGAGACATGCAGAGAAAGGAGAGCCCTGGGACAGCTGAGGCACTAAGACGATGCTATTCATGTTAAGGGGCACTTAAACATTATATTAATCACAATGCATTAACGCTAAACATTCATGGTATTAATTTTATACCAAGGTTCATAGTCCAAACATCTACCAAAGACAAGAAGCAGACATACAAACGAAGATACTCTGTCATGTGCCGGGATGGGAAAACATTTCCAGCCCAAGGACTAGCTTACCTCCTAGGAAGCTCCCCCTGGCTCCCCCTGGACCACACAACAGCAGAAGGAGTGGCCAGAGCCCAAAGTGGGGTAAGAAATGGGGGGGGTGCTCGCCCATTTATATATACCTACAGACTCACACACCATTTACACAGACACATACGCACAGCCTACACTCACACTCATGCACATTCACAACATTCATTCATACAGACACGCTCCACTCATATACAGGCACAGCCCCACCCGCTAAGCTGAGGAAGGGAGCATTTCCCTGCACAGCACTGAGCAAGACTCCGTCTCCCACTGATGAGGGGAAATTGCTTATGTGCAATCATTCTCTGCCCAATGCTGAAAGATGAAGCCTCTCTCAGAGAAATGAAGTCCCCTTCAGTGCTGGACAGTGAAAAGATCTCTCCAACCAGCTGCTGATCTTCTTTCCCATTGGAAAGCTCTTCTTACCCATCAGCAGCTGATCAGAGACTTTTTGCCAAGGTAGCATGACCAGGCCTGGGGAAGAAGTGGGCTGGGTGGGGAATCTTCATAGCCAGATGGCTCATAGGCTGGTGATTCCCCATCTGCATACAGCAAAAGGGCCAGTGAAATTCTTCCAAGAAGGCTACAAGCAGACTATGCGATGGGTAGTGTCCCATCTAACAGCAAAATAAGAGAACATAGGCTTTGCCTACAGAATATCCCATGTTTAATCCCTGGCAGGATCTCAGATCAAGACAGACCTGAAAGCCTTAAGAAGCACGGCCATCTGGAGACACTAAGACTGGGCTGCATTTGGAACATATGAATGTGCCTCATATGTTCCTCATATGTCCCCAGATACACACCACTGGTCCATCTAGCTCAGTACCGCCTACACGGAGTGGCAGTCCTTTCCAAGGCTACACCTGGAGATAAAACTGGAATTGACCCCTGAAGCACTTCACCAGCCACTGCTGCAGGCAAAACACTTGCACTGCCATGAATACATGGGCCAATGGCCTTACTCAGTGGAAAGATACTTCATCACAGCCAACCCAGGAACACCGATTTGCTGGGTTATTTATTGCAACATCCGATCCTGGAAATCTTGGGTTACTGGGAGGGAACAACCTCCCAGAATTTTAACCATGCTGTTGCTCATCCCCCATTCAGATGTCAAATAAAAATCCAGGGAAAGTAGCATCTTCAGGTAGTTTATTACAACAGGAGCAAGCAGGTGTGTACTCATGTTTGTTGCCTTTTCAGCAACTCACAGGTTGTTATATGTGAGCTGGGAAAATGGAAGAGCAGACTATCACGTACCATAAACAAGATGCTTTTGGAATAGTATCCCTATGTGGGCAACTACTGAACTTGGCTTGCCAAAAAATATTTTCTTAGTTACCTGTAATCCCATTTTTCCTGGACTCGCATCTTTTGTTCAGCTTTGTGCTTGCCGCCAACTCCATGATATCAGAATCTGAAATATGGAGGAACAGATGGTGTAAACACCTACAGCATGACAATTCAGATTTTCCCCAGATCCTGAAAGATCTATTCAGTTAGGAGAAAGAAAAGCAGAATCATATTCATACACAAAAAAGCCACATAAATGTACATGTTCAATAGAAACAAGATCAGACTCTCATTAAAGGCTTTCCAGATGTAAAAAAAATTGAAGGGTCAGTCTGCAAAAAGCATGGCATCTGCAAGGAATGAAACCAAATCTGAACAAAAAACTGGATCAAATCTTTTTCCCTCAAATTAGAAAAGAACATTAGAAAACCCCCTATCTGAAATCTGTTGAACCTGCAGCTCAGAATAAATCAGTCAGAAAATCATTCAGTAGTAATTCACTAGCCACCAAACAGTATAAATAATAGACACATTTTAAAAAGACAATATTATAAATTTGCCTGCACTTCTGTACTCTACCCTCTTCAAGAGTTAAGAAGTAACCATCGAAACGATGGTTGGGTGCTCTGAGGCTGCAGTCTACTATGGCATCACATGACAAAATGGTGGTATAAATAAATACATAAATCAATGGATGTTGAAGATAACCTGCATGCTAGACAAGGCAACATTGCAGAGTGCCTCTAGCATGCTGTTATGCTCAGCCAGTCTCTACAGTGCCCTTCAATGTGGAGCCCTCCAGGTGTGTTAGATGACAACTCTCATCAGGCATTGCATGATCTGGAGGGTACCAAGTTGGAGAAGGCTGTTCTATGGCTATGCTACATACAGACATATATGCAGCTGAAGCAGGTTTTCCGGCTGCAGGACAAGCTCTGTTCCCCCTTGCCTTTGCTCTTACACCTGAGCTGAAGACAACACAGGGCTAGGCAGGCTTTCAGCTATGTGAAAACACACTTTTAGGCACCCAGCATGTTTGCTTATTTCCTATGAGATCTGTCTACTCTAAATAGAGCATCAAATGCAGTTAATGCCATGGAGCATAAACAATTTGTGGAAGAAAACACATTGAGAAGAGTAAGACAGTAGCAGACCTACCACACAGTCAGGAGAAAGCAAAAATATTGACTGATGGCTGCAAGAAACAGGATGCTGCATTAGCTAGGCCCTTGCACTAAATGTGTGATCAAACAAGATGTGTGATTGAACAGGAAAATACCAAGTAATACTCCAGAATCAATGCAGTCTCTTTTCATCCTCTCCTGCTAGGCTATAGCCTTCTGTACAGGATGGAGGTTTTCCTGCCTTGTATATTTAACCATCTGGCATTAGAGATAAGTTCACACTGACATACGAGAATTACTGCCACGTTGCAAATGGTGTTCACACTTGCCCACACCAACCAGACCATGTTCAGAGAGAGTGCATAGCAGTGGTTGCCAGATACAAAGGGAGATCATCACTTTTTGGAGAGGCCCAGAGGCATCCGGCAGGTTACACCTGTGGACAAGAATGCTGGACTACCTGAATCTTGGTCTGATTGAACAAAGCCATGTTGCTCTATTTATTGGAGTGGTGAGCTCAGCTGCCACACTTATGGCACTGCTTCTAAGAAATGTTAGGCCTTGGATCCTAGTCTTACTCTAGATACATGTATATTATTTCAGTTGTGAAATATATAACTAACGTTTGCTCCCACATACACACATGTCAACCATCATCTCATGCTTTGTCACTGCATCTACATTCTTTATATTTTATAAAAATAACACTCTTGCCTAATATAAAACCCCAGACTGAAACATCTGCACTCACTTTTGCATTTTAAACTCAGAGCACCACCACCGTGACTACTTGATTTCTGAACTTCTCTGCCCTCGTCACCGGCGGCTTTCTGGGTGGTCACTGGGGTCCCCTGGGCTGCGGCCCCAACCAGATTTCATCCAGTAAAACGAGATGCGGAGGAGACTGGCAGGGGCAGAGACAAAAGCAAAGGCGCCGCCCCGCCGCACGATTGTCAGAACAGCGCAAGAGGCGATGAGCGCACACAATACGCGCAGCAAGCGAAAGAAGACCGACTGGGGGAGAGAAAAGCAGAGAGGCAGATGCTAACGGACGGCCCATTCGGAGACTGCAGACTTAAATCAGCAATAAAACGCAAAAAGGCCTGCTGCAATAGCCAGTCGGACTAGTGGCCGAATTACAGATTACTTTCCATGTGTTTACTACGTACTACATCTTCGTTTCTACTCTAGAGTAAACGAAAAGGCCCCCATCCTGCACCCACTTAAAGCTGAAAAGAAACGGCTTACACACATTTAAAGGAGAACCCTCTCCCCCAAGAAACAGCTTTGCAACCCTTTCAGCTGGGGACCAAGTTGTGCGTTTACACAGGTCTGCGCGGCATCTACCGCGCCATCCAGTCGTCCGCGCAGCCTCACTGCCGGATTCCGCTCTTCGCCGCCTCCCCCGCGGCTGCGCGGACACACGCCCCGGCAGCCGGCGCCGGAGTTTCCCTTCTTCGGTGCCGAGGGGCGGGCGGGCGAGCGGTCCGGCGAGTCACGCCTTGCTCCTGCGCGGCGCTCGGGAAAGTTCCCCCTGAAGTTCCCGCTGCAGCCGCAAGCACCTGCGGGCAAGATCCCAGCACCCCGCGGTCCCTTCTCCGCGGACTTGCAGCGACTTCTAGCCCTCTCCCAGAAACACGAGCCGTCGGGAGGGAAATGGGGGAGAGAACCGTGCAAGGGAAGGATGGGAAATGTAGTCTTTGAGGCCCACCCGGCCCTTCTCTGCCGGGTCCTGCTTGTTTTTGGCGCCCCAGGCTGCAGTCCCATATCTGCTTGCTTGGAAATTAACCCCATTAAACTCAGTGGAATTGACTTCTGGGTAAACAGGCCTGTATTGTACGGAGAATTTCGGCCAGTGGGCGGTTTCAGGGTACATTAAATAAAACGAAAACATAAAATAAAGATCGGGTTATGCAATAAACGGTTTAATCTCCGTCGTTCTTCACCAGGATTTCTGCGTCATTTAAAAAAAAATGGTGCCGAATGCTTTACGATCCTTATCTCAGACCTCCTAAGAAGGCCCTGTCTGGGTTTCATCCGCATCCATCGTCTGTATGGTTTATTCACAAACAGTCCACGATGCGGAAGAGACAGCTGCTGGTAAGTTTTTACTGCGAGGTGTTGCCGCCTGAAACTGAACGGAGCGAGGACACTTCTCTGTTATTTCAGGAATACGAATGTTAGTCTGTTTTCTTGTGTTATAAATATCCGTTTAGACAAATCTCAGCATTCTTCATGGGCCCTTTTGTAGTTTCAGAATTTATTTTCTGCTTAACCATGTGCAGGATTGCAGTCTGTCCATTGATTTTCACCATCGAGATAAACACACACCCAGAGAAATAATTAAGATTTTTAAAGTGTTTAATTTTGGCTGGGTCAAAACCCATGAACCTCTGAATGGTGCTTTCGAGATGAATCTTGGAGTTCAGTTTGAGGGCTGACAAATATACCATCCTTGGGCATATTTCAAAGTCTCATAACAAAGGGTGGCATGTAGATATAGTAAGCTAAAAACATCATCTTCCTTCACATTTCATATAATGAAATAGTCATGCTTATTCTTTAAAGTTTGCAGTTTTTTCTTCAGGACTCAGAGCAGGAATAGCTAAAGAGAAAATACAAAGAAGGACACCTACCAAGTTCTGAAGCAGGACCATTAGCTACTTTTCGTTTTGCTTCCTAGTTGCTCTCACTTGCCAGCTGGATGCTGTTGCTGAGTTGCTTGAATAAACTAAACAGGCAAGCAGCCTCAGTCATTTATGAGGGTTCACTCCTCCACAGGGTTGACTATGATTGGCTGACCACGACTGACTTTGGGTATCCAGGATACTGTTCTCTCTATATGATGCCGCACATCATTGCTTCATATCCAGAAACAGAAGCTTGTTGCAGCACAAATATGGATAGGAAGATTTTTCTTTAATACCATACAAGTCAATTTGTGGGCAATACATCATGCAGGAAGAGCTGAGAGCAGCTCAGAAGCCTCAAGTGTGAACAATACAGAGAAGTATAAGGCAATGCTGCACTTCCAAGCAACATCATAGTAGGAAGATGCAAGATCTTTTCTTAATTACTGCAACATTGATGGGACGGTGGCAATTGATGTCCACACATTTGTAGCTGCTATTAAATTTCCACACTGCCTTTTCCTGTTGCACAGAGTCCAAGGTGGCTTGCATAGTCCTCTACCTTGCCATCTTATCCTCACAACAACCTTGTGAGGTTAGTTGGTCTGCGAGTCAGTAGCTATTCCAAAGATCCTGGCTGAGTGGGAATTAGAACCTCAATCTCCAGAGTCCCAGTCCAGCCTCTGACCACGGGCTTTAGGAATATAGTTCTAGGAATAGGAGCCACAGATTTACTCAGCCTGTACAGAATCCTCATAAAAATAGATTATTCCCATTTGTTTCACAATGGGTACTGATTTTTTGCAGGCCCCAAAGAGAAGAAATCCTAAGTGTTCTGCTGCCTTACATTCTTGCCATGATAGTCCATACTGAGAAATTTAATTTTGAGGATCAGACACTGTTTGCCTACAATCTGCATAAGGCAGCATGTTTCAGTACTCCTAGCCACGTTCTGATCATATTGCACCAGCTGTGAAGCATTGACATCAGCTCAGGCTTCAGTTAAGGTGGTGGCTATAACTTTCTGAACACTCAAGATGCAGTCCTATGCATGTTTAGATAGGAAAGATTCCTACAATTCCCAAGAGTCCTGCAGCCAGCCTTGCTGACTGAGCATGCTGGGAATTGTAAGACTATGTTTTATTATTACTTTTCTACCAACTAACAAAAGAAACTAAAAACCATCAATCATCAGAAACATCAGACCTACTGGCTCAGCCCCCCATACTTTTTTTTTATAGTAATCCGTAAACATATTTGAATCTATGCATAGTCCCATTTCTCTAGCCAATAATAAAAAGAGTTCCAGGTTGGATAGAAGTATGTATCCTATTTCTCCTTCAGAGACAAAGTCAATCTGTCCATTTCGGCACAGTCCAAGATCTTTTTTAAAATCAGTTCATTGGTAGGTGGTTCTTCACTCCTCCAATGTTGGGCAAATGCAATCCTTGCCGCAGTGATTACATGTAGAATCAAATACATTGCTTGAGTATCAACATCATCAGGTACAATGCCTAATAAGAAAACTTCATGTTTAAATATTAGAGGTTTTTGTAACATTCCCTCAAGCCATTTATGTGTTTTAGCCCAGTATTTTTTTGCCTTATCACAAGTCCACCACATATGATAAAAAGTACCTGGTTTATGTTTGCATTTCCAACATCATTTGACATATTTGGAAACATCTTAGCTAATCTATTTGGTGATAGATACCATCTATAAAACATTTTATTCAGATTTTCCTTATATAAAGTTGCTAATGTTACTTTAATATTTCTTTCCCACAGCTTTTGCCATTTCTGTAGCTCATTATTATATCCAAAATTTTGTGCCCACGTTATCATAGTTTCCTTAACTTGTTCATCTTCCATTCTCATATCCAAAAGAAAATTATACAATCTTTTAATCATGTTATCATTTGATTTTAAGATCACTTGGTCAAGTGTTGTTAACTCCTTATAAAAACCCCACATTTTATAATCTTTAACATATCTCGATTGTATTTGAACCTTATGCCACCAAGAGATATTAATTCTCTGCTCTTGTAGTTCTTGATTCGGTTTCAATCCTCCATCATTATCCAGAATATCATCATATCTCACAATCATATCAAAATTCAATGCATTTGGATATACAAGAGCTTCCATAGGCGAAAGCCATCTTGGTAATTTAGTGTACAGTTTTGTCTTTAGTTTTTCCCCCACCGACATTAATGACTTTCTAATATAATGGTTTAAAAAACAACCATGTGCCTTACACTTCTCATACCACATATAAGCGTGCTGACCCATTTGTAAATCATGCCCTTCAAGATAAAGGATTCTCTTATTTCTTAAAGTTATCCATTCTTTTAGCTATGTTAAGACAGAAGCTTGATAATACAGCATCCAGTCAGGAAGGCCAAAATCCCCATTCCCTTTGGCCTCCTGAAGCATTTTTAATTTAATCCTTGGTTTTTTTCTTTTTCCATACAAATCTTGAAAGTTGGGTGTTTAGATCATCAAAGAATTTTTATCAATTTTTATGGGAATTGTTTGGAATAAAAATAAGAACTTTGGTAATATATTCATTTTAACTATTGCTATTCTTCCCAACAACAATAGTTGCAAATTAGCCCATTTTTCCAAGTCGCTCTTAATTTCCTTGAAGTTTATCATAATTATCTTCTTTCAATGTAGTACATTTAGCTGTAAGGAAAATTCCCAAATATTTAACCTTTTTAACAATTTGAAGACCTACTTGTTCCATCAGAGTTTTTCTCTGTTCCAATGTGAGATTTTTCACTAGCAATTTCATCTTCTCTCTATTTATTTTCATCCCAGTAACTTCACCATACTCTTCTATCTTTTGTAGAAGTTTAGGCATTGTTACCAAGGGTTCCTCAAGAATAAAAACTAAATCATCTGCAAATGCTTGCAGTTTATAGCTTTCATCTCTAATTCTAGCGCCTTTAATATCCATATCTTCTCTAATATTTCTATTTAGCACTTCTAAAATCAATATAAATAACAATGGTGATAAAGGGCATCCTTTTCTTGTGCCCTTTTGAATATCTATAGTATTAGTAAGTTCTCCATTAATTATAATCCTGGCAGTCTGTTTTTGGTAAATGCTTGTTATTGCATTGATACACTTTTCACCAAATTCCATTTGTGCTAATTGCTGTTTCATGAATTGCCAGTTAACATTGTCAAAGGCCTTCTGTGCATCCAAGAACAATAGTGCCATTGGTTTTTCAGAGTGAACCTCATAATACTCTAAAATATCCAAAATAATTCTCATGTTATTCCTCATTTATCTTTTAGATAAAAAGCCATTTTGATCTGGATGTATAAAGTCTGTTAAATACTTCTTCAGTCTTTCTGCCATTACAGAGACAAAGATTTTTTAATTCACATTTAGAAGTGATATAGATCTATAATTCTGGATCTGTGTCAAGTCCATATCTTCTTTCGGTATTAAGGCAATATTTGTCTCAGTCCAGGTATTCGGTATTTTAGCATCTGACAATACCGCATTACATATATCCTTAAAAGGCATAGACAGGATTCCTTCAAAAGCTTTATAGAACGCTGCTGGTAGCCCATCCAGACCTGGAGTTTTGTCATCCTTTTATCTCTTGATTGCCTCAGTTACTTCTGTCATTGTTATTTCCTCATTTAATATTTTTTGGTATTTCTCCGACAACTTTGGTAAATTTCCCTTTTGAATATACTCATTAACTTTCTCAATTGGAATTTCTTTATTCTGGTACAGCTTTACAAAAAAGTCTTCCACTATTTTCTTAATTAACATACTTTGTACCTGCAGTTGTCCTCCTCCATCCTTCAATTTATATATTAGTCTTTTTCTCTTTCCTTCTTTAGTTTGTAAGCTAACCATCTCCCTGGTTTGTTAGCATGGAATTGTAAGACTTTTAAAAATCTGACCATACAAAGGATTGTACCTTTAAGAAAGTAAATAAAAACCTTGTGGAGCTGGAAACCTGGCAAATGCCAAGAGAAGTATTGCAGGTGCATTGGTGCCCATGCACACCACACAGGGGACCCCAAAACCAGGGCCCTGGGTTCAAATCTCAGACAAGTCCTATCTTGGGTTTGGGCAGAAAGCTGGTTATTCCTTTTGAATTTGGGGGCGGGGCCTCTGTTGAGTGGCACAGAAGGGTTTTCTTATGAAGAAGGTCCCATGTAAAGTTACTGGGCACCAGGTGATGAAAGAGCTCCCTGCCCAAGATCCTGGAGAGCCATGGCTGTTTAGAGGAGACAGTACTATGGGCTAGACAGACCAACAGTTTAATCTGGAATAAGGCAGCTTTCACCAGCTCTGATATCAATCAACAGTACTATCTTTGCACGAAGTTAAGGCATCGGAAGGATCCATAGGGAGGCATTCTCAAAGGCTGCCTCCCCCCCCCCCCTGCACAGTTATAGTGCTCCCTCCTGAGGAAACTTGCCAAAGTTTCTGCCAAGCATCTTCCTGAAGTATTGCACTACTTGGAGCGGCTTTGGGATGGCAAGAGTTAGGCCTGCAGTCAACGAAGATTTTTAATGAAGTGTTGATTTGTTTAAATGCTGGTCTGTTTTACTAGAATTGTTGGGATTTGCAAATTTGATTGATCCTGAGAAGGAGAAAGTGCATACAAAGTAGCATGGAGACTGCAGGGATGCCTGCCGACAGCAGATCCCTGCACTTCTGGAGTGCAGTTTAGTGCTTTAACTATAAGCACTGCAGAAAGGAATAGAAGGGCTGTGTGCAATTTTGTACAGAAGGAACACAGATGCATGATTGCAGCCGTGCCTTCCGATTGGCTCTGCCGTGCCAGTTGTCTCCTACCTTGGCTAGGAGTGACACAGTTCCCCTACCATTTGTGCATGGGAGAGGGAATTATTGACACCCCGCCCAAAAACTACTCTGTCTGGAAACACCTCTGTGACAGCCCCCTATATTCTGATGTAGCTCATCACCATCTGGTGACCTGGCACTATGCCAGGATGTCTGAATAGGCCTGAGCTCACTTTCTTGTTTCCTAATATATGCTCCAAATGTAAGTGCTTTCACAAGTGCCTGGATCATGCTTCATGATAAGCCATGGTAGCTTGTGACTTGTTCCAGTCAGAGTAGCTCAGTATGACATCCGAACACAGTGTAGCCAATTCGAATGCACTTTGTTAGCCCATATGCAAGCCACCAGGAGAACTTGTGGCTTGTTGCCGAGCTGCTGAGCATGGCATGTTCTCGAGGCAGCCTGTCATGATGTGTGAATCCAGCAAAGTGGCTTGGCAGTGACTTTTCAAAATGGCGAGCATAGCAGAAGACCCAACCACTTGCCACACTCTCAGTAGTGCTGCCTCCAGCCTCCCTCCGCACAGGGATGTCTGACCCTCCAAAGCTGACAGATGGGAACGTCCTAAGCACATTTGCCAGCTTGCTTTGTCTAGCATTTCAGGTGTATTTAAATGTGATGGTGTGTGTTTGTAATTTCTCCTCCCGGTGCTTTACAAGTGCATAGATCCACCTGTATGCTCTGCATAGTCTGCCGTGGTACATTAACTGTGTCAGTTCCCATGTCTGTTACTTACTCCACTTCAGCACTGCCAGGAAAGTGAACCAACCTCAAAAGCTCCACAGTGAACTTTCAAACATGGAACTCTGAAAGTACAAGGGAAACGCCAAAGTGTGGGCCGAGGGAACTGAGAAGTATCAGTTCAAGCCATAATACAGTGAGAGAATGGAACTGACAAGAAGAATTGCAACATGTATAAAAGGGACATTGATCTGGAGTGTGTAGAGTGGTTAGAGTATTGGATGGGGACTCAGGAGAAATGCACTTTGATCCCCACTCAGCCATGAAACTCACTGGGTGCCTTTGAGCCACTCACAGACTCTCAGCCTAACCTACCTGACAGGATTGGCTGTGAGGGTAAAGCAATGTAGGAGAAATTTAAAAGCCACCTTGGTTTCTTTGCAGAAGGAAGAAAGCCAGGCTATAAAAGTAAGGTAATAAAGTTAGAATAACAAAAAGCATACAGGCAAATGTGTGCAGTTACACCCTTAGAAATGACAGAAGAAAAAATAATTTAAAGAAACCATTTGCACACTTCCAAAGCACTGAAAAGTAAACAAAAAAGTTGCAAACACAAAAAAATCAGAGCAGGTCAGGAAGTCAGAAAAGTTTCCTTCTGCAAGGATGAGGATATGAGAGGGGCGGTACTGTAAAGGTCAGTGCTTGCCAGAAGCAGGCAAGTGGATTGAGGGGGAAAGAAGCCATGTCAAGCTGAAGAGAGCCATCATGTCTTTTGGGAGGAACATGGGTTAGAAGGCAAACAAGCAATTCACCGTGGCTTATTTTCAGGGTGGCTTAGCATGATGTGCAAACTCACCCAATGGTTTGTCTAATTAAATCTGGCAAACTCTTAATATTTCAAGTCTAAGGTTATTATGAACCACCAACATAAGAAATGGAGGATCTCTTTTTATTGTACAAAACTGCCATTCTCCACTTAGGGCTCAGCTTTTTCTAACCCAATGCCTCATGAAACCAAAAGTTTGATTGCACTCCCTGCCTTCTAATGAAGTCAAGTGCCTCTCAGGCCATTCTTTCTGCAGAGAACTCTGCATAAACTCTGGAACCCAAAGCTCTGCTCAAGTAGTTTTGCATTGTCACTAGCTAAATTAGATGGATTGTATTTGAACTCTGGGCTATGTTAGCTACCACTTTTCTTTCTTTTTTTCTCCCTTTCCTTTGTTTGGTATGCTGCTTGAACAGGGATTTCTCTGTAAAAATTTCCCCATATGAAGGACCACAAGGTTACAAAGTCATGGCTTGCATTCTCAGAATTTCCCTAGAATTTGTGTTAAAGTTCTGGCCTTTGGGCAAAAACTCAAAGCACCTTTCTTCTTCTTTTTCCTAGTGCTAGGCTGAAGAGAAGGGTCCTTGGCTTAAAACTTGCTAGCATGTTTCAGGAGGTTCAGCAAGAGCGGTAGGGGTTTTTTTTTGGGGGGGGGGCCTTTGGAAAGAAGGGTTCCACCAGTAGGGAAAGTCATCCACTCTCAGATCCATAACAATCTCAAAGAGCAAGGATTAGTTCTTCCGGATTACTCTTTTATCACACCCTTGCCTCAGCCAGAGCAGGGTGGGGAGGGGGAGTACACATGGTGACGTCTTCCCCTCATGGCCCTTTTATGTCCTCCCACTGTGTCTTACATCTTCTCTCTCCTATCAGAAAATCCATTAAGGAGAAAAGGGCGAAATAGCTGCAGAAGGCATTCTAAGTGGGAGCGGCGTGGAGGCTTCCATCTGGAAGCACAAACCAAGCCATAAAGAACTGCCATGGAGGCAAGCAGCTCCCTTTGATCCCTGGGGAGCAATGAATTAACAATATCCTTTAGGCTTTACACACACACACACACACACACACACACACACACACACACAGTATTGTTTGCCACACTTGTCTCAGCTGAAAAACTGGTTAAAGCTAGCATTGATGCTGAAAGGGGTATCCACTTGTTTCTCTGTATCCAACCAGCAGTTTGTTAATGGCTGCCTCAACAGCTTGTCCTGGGTAATGAGCATGACTGCAATTATGTTTAGTTCTGGGTTCTTCTCTTCTTCTTCAGCTTGGTGGAAATAACTACTCTGCACAAGTTCATGTGCTGCTTTCCCCACACATCAAGTTAACACCACTGTAAACCCAGGCTTGTGTGTCATCTTGTACCAGTGGTAGATTCTTGTGCTTCTTTTGCGCTTCTCTTTCCTACCAAGCTGAAACCACAGAGTCATCCCATGAAGGCAGATTGGAGGCTCCTGTGATCCTGACAGGGCTCGTCCCACACGGTTTTCTGCCAGAGGCAAAGGAGAAGACATTTGCCCATGCCATGTGCAGAACTCAGAGAGACTCTGTTCACCACAGCAGAGGGAGCAAGCTAATTTAGGGGATAAAAGGCAGGCAGTGTGGCATGTGCAGCTCTGTCTGCAAACAGGGCAACAACCGGCGAGTCCAAGAGGAACATTTGGGAAGTGCAAAGTGAACAGCTGGGAAGCTGCCATCGCTTTCTGCCAGCATCTGCTGCCTGAGGCAGTTGCCTCCCTCTGCCTAATGGTAGGGCTGGTCCTGGTCGCCTTTCATCCCGAGACAGCTGCCCTTTGCATGGCCAGGGACTCAAAAGAATATTTTATTGTCTTGCCCTAAAAGCGTTTAGCTATATCTCTCATGGATCCCCATGTTCCACAGGGACTTGCGCTAGCAGCTCTTCCTTTGCAAACTTGCCCGACCATCCAAGAAACAGGATGGGCTCCCTTCGTGTTTAGCTGTTGGGTAGCGGCAGCCTGAAACGTGTCTTCAGGCCCAGGGTTTTGTCAACGTCTTCCACAGGCTGCAGGCTGTGCCACTGTGCGATCGGCCTGCGGGGATTGGCCAGCATATCTGACCAATGGCGCAGCTGGTTGCCTGCAGCACGGCAGCCAAGGAACAGTTTCCCGATCTGCTCATCCTTGGACATTTTGTCATGATCCCAGACAGAAATCACCAGATCTACATTCTGAAAGAAGGGAAAACACAAGTTGAGCACATTTTCCCCCTATAGAGTGGTGGAATTTAGACATTATAGCAGTAGCCCCATGGCTGCTCTTTGGTGGGTTCATCCCATCCCATTGCACTGCTGAAATGTTTCATTGAAGGCCTTCACTCATCGCATGGTTAACAGGGCTACGTGTGCTTGGTGTCAGCACCCAGCTGTCACAGCGGCCTGCGAAAAGCCATGTTGGGTCACACCGAGGATCCGTCTCATCCAGCATTTTGTTCACACAAGAGCCAACTAGCTGTGCAAGGGAAAGCCACCAGGAGTAGGAGTGCGTCGGCACCCCTCCGGTCTCAGCCAGACCCAGTCTCAGTCAGACAACAACTGTGCTGTAAAATGCAAGCCAGTCACCTGCTCTCCTGCTCTCTTGGTGTCATTTTTGCTATAGGGTTAGCCCATAACGCCATACAGACAGCCACCACCTTGGGTTTACAAGAGCTGAGCAGGGCTGTCATGAACGGGACGTTCTGGAGGGCCATATCGGAGATGACTTGATGGCATGCAGCAGCAGCAGCAGCAGCTGGTGGATAACACAGATGTACAAGCAGCTCTGGGGGCTCCAGGCATCCAAGCTTTGTCAGGTATAAAGAAGAGACATTCTTATGGCAGCCTGAGTGAAAGATGTCTCTGCAAAGGCACTGTGCTAATCTAGATGGTGATAATTCCTGAGCAACAGGCATCTGGACACAGAGGACATACCTGGATTATGCTGAAAGGCACTTCAAAAAGAAATGCCTCGTTGAAGTAGGGGTGTAATGTATTTTTCTTTATGCTCGTCTTCTTTTTCTTCCACTTCTTTTTGTTCAGAATAAGTTGCACTTTCACATAGGGGTCTGGGAAGGAGAAAATTGCCAGAGACAGTTGAAAGGAAGAAGAGAAATTCTAGATTGGGCTACAACAGGAGGTAATCCTGGGTTGCCTTTCAGCCGCTCTGAGGTCCCTTATAAGGCAGGATAGGACCACTTCCCCCTGACATTCACTTTCCACTAGAGTTTCCCAGCACTGCAGCCTATAGCAGCACTGCAGGTGTTCAAGGATAGGCTGGACGTCCACATGGTGGGCATGTCGTGAGCCAGTTCTTCCTTTGTTCCAAAACACTGTGAAACCACCACCACCACATTTATATCCCACCTTCTCCCACTCAAGGTGGCTACATGCAGCTTGCAGGTGGTCTCCCCTCCAAGCTGAGGCCAGCCCCAGACTCGCTTAGCTTCAACATGGCAAATGTCTTATGTCCCTTCAGACCACACTCTAGTACCAGCTACAGACAAGCTCATTCCATTTCATGACACAAGAGATACTTGGAGTTCTTACAACAGAGGCCTTGGACGTACCCTTCCTATGTTCATGAACAGCAAGATACCATGTCCAGGCTATTACATTAGACCAGAGAAGATCCTGGACTTAATGTGATTCCAAGCGTGATCTGAGCAATATATATTAATGGGTGTCTGTGTCTGTTTTCGTGTACCTGACAGGCCATGGGCATCCATCTGCTTGAGCTTTTTGGCTTCCAAGATGACCACTGTTAATTTGCTGGTGCTGGGGATGTATCGGAGTGAGAAGCAAATCTCCCCAAGTCGTTCTTGCTATTAGATAGAGAAAGGACAGGAGGGAGGCAAAATGTTCATACAACTCACTGACAAACTGCTAAGACCAGAAGCCAAAAGGCCCAATTACAAAGTGTCAAAGGCTCCAGACCACCAGGAAGTCATTATCCACATCCAGAAGTCATTCCCACGTTCTTAGAAGAGTGAGGGAGAATTTTGATGACACAGAGGTAAAACAAGGGCACTGGGAGATTGTCTTAGATTTCCCAAATCACATATTCAGGAGCTGAAAAGTATTTGTATTTAAGGCAAACAAAGAACAATAACTCTTCTGTTTTAAGGGCATGGACAAGTACCCTTAACAAACTGGACTTCCCATGTTGTTGTTTTCTCCTGCCTTTGGCAATACTTTGACTGTTGGTTCAGCCAGTGGTCTCCATGTTTCCCAAGTATGCTGCTTGCAAGATTGTTTGATTGAATGCACTTTCCTTGCTTTCATTTTTTTTCTTTTTTCTTTTTTTGTATTTATTTAAAAGCAACAAAGTGACTCTTTTTGGTGGTGTTCCAAGACATCAGCCAATTAAGTTGTGGTCCAAGAGTCCTTGTTCCCCTGAGCTCAGTTCTGCAGAGAAGATGCTTTGTTGCAGCAAGTATTCTCCCGCATGGGTCCCTGTGCTCAAATACTGCATGCTTCTATGCAGCCCACAGTGCTATGTCCTATTTGCCGTCATCGCTGCCAGATAGTGCTCTCTAGGGCATTATTCAGTTCTGCAGCAATAATCACATCATAGGAACTGCCTCGCTGAGGGTAAGATGCTATCATTTCCAGCTTTCTGTGGCAGCCATGGGGAGCTCATAAGCCAAGAAGGATCATTTTCTAAAAAGCCCCAACTGCTTTAGTCTTTTCTCAAGGGGTAAGAAGAATAAAAATCTGCTTCAGTTTCATTTTATGCCAGGATTTTCCAGCTTAGGTTTGGTGCCATTTGTTTGAGCCAAACGGACTTGGGAAGATGCAGAAAACTGGTCTTCCTCCACTTCCCCCAACAGGCATGTTGACATTTTCTGTCACCAAATGGTGGGACTCAGCTGAGATTCCTTCAGGCAGCCTCTGTCTATGAACAACAGAGAGCACTCTTTGGACCAGGAGGTAAACTTTGCTGAAACTACCATGGACACGGTACCCCTGCTTGCGTCAGAATGCCTAATGACAACTATCTGGGATGGATATAGTCAGTATCACTGACTATAGACTTCACATGTTAATTATCCCAGCCATGCAAGGATGCCTGCCTTATCACTCAATAACTTTTATATATGCATCCTCTTAAGGTAATTATCAGTATCTGTAGTTTTTGCATTTCAGTTAACTCTGGCAAACAGTTTGCATCTGTATATAACTATTCCAACTTTTATTGGCTAACATTTTATACATCTGATGACATAGACAGTACACACACCATTAATGCTTTAACCTTTAAGGTGGCACAAGACTTTGTTGCCATTCTTACTATCCAACAAGGAATAGTATTTGTGAGCATGTGCAAAGTGCTTAAACACATGCTTAGATAGTGAGCAGGGCTTCCTTCCAGAGCTCCTGTGCAATTTTGGTCTTTCTTGGCACTTCCCCGATCAGATGTTCAACATGGCCAACACCTTTTCTTGTTGGCAGCCCAAAAATTGCTGATATGTTTAAAAGTTGTAGTTCATGGTACCACCACTGCTGCTCCATATTCCAGCTTTCTCCACATTGGTCCCCCAGAATAAATTCTATTGCAACTCCCATCATTCCCAGCTAGCAAGGGAGTTGCAGTCCAACACTTTTGAAGGATGCCAGGCTGAAGAAGGCTCTCATATCTGACTATACCTTCTTTTTCACCACTGGCTGTACCATAACATCCTGTTTTCTACCTCACTTAAGTCATATATGCAGCAGAAAACATTCCTTCTTACTTTCTTTTATTTTCCAAAATTCCTCTTCTAATGATTAAAAATATTTTGGCTTGCTCAGGCTAAAGATTTGCATGTACATACCCACACTGTTTTCAGATTGCAAAGAGTTATCATTCCTAGCTACAAAATTTCTCACACTGTTCTCCATATGTGCCCATGTAAGCAGCAGAACTTACATAACTTCCAGTGTGGCGACCATCTTATATAATACACTTATATAATAGGTTAGTCATGCAACCTGATGCAACAAACGTAACAGAAACGTGTTGCTATTTATCCAGTAAAATAAATTTTGCTTGGCCAGCAAAATTAGTCAGCTATTAAGCTGACATTGTGACTAAATGGATCCATGTAACATCCCACCTCTCCACCCCCAGATTTTGAAGACAGAAGTGCCTCATTTTTGTAAGGTGATCTTTTGATGGAGAAAAAAGTTCATCCTATAGAACACGGTTTGGCAAGAGTATGAAGCATGAGTCAGCACTTGACGCTTGTTGCCATTTTGTCTGACTCAGCATGTGTGGGAATAGCTAAGGCGATATCCCTTTCACAGGCAAATGTTGCTGCTGCAAGGCACAGCAGAAGGTGGAACAGTCAGAACACATGGTGATTCTCAGCCTGTTTGGCAGCTGGTCTCGATCCAGCAGTGGTGCCCATAAGCCTCTGAACTGGGACCGTGAAGAGCGTCCCACACAAGATGGGAGGAGTACAGTGGTGATGGAGACTTGGAGGCCGCACCAGGATCGGGCAAGGGCTACAGGTGGCTACAGGTTGTGCACCCTTGTTGTTCTCAATATATCGGAACCCAATTAAATAGGAGCTAGGATTTGCGGGGGAGGAACAGTAGGAGCACCAAGCAGTTCTTAGGGTGGATGATTCGCAAAGCTTTGCCACCACACTCTCTTCCAGTATTTGCCACCCACCTGTCCAAGATACCAACCTCCATCTTGCCAGCTGCTGTGAGCTCATGCCATTGCTCCATGACATGCTGCAGGTCAACCTCACCGAGAGGCAGCCGCATCTCACCGATGATGTCATGTTTGGCAAAGCGGTTGAAGTCATACACCTGCATCACCAGGCTAGCTTCAGCAACCTCTGCTTGCGGTATCTGGACAGGAGGAAAGAAAGAGAAAGCAATCTGATTCCCAGACTTCTCTAGTGGGATTAAATTTCATGTCCTTCTGAAGTTATATGAGCTTGATGCAAAAAATTAGTCTGTGTTATACAGGAATTAAATTCTTAACATAAAAACTGAAGGATTACTCTATTAGAGTAGGCCAAAATCTATCTTGTACAACACTGGATCTCCAACTATAGACAGAAATATATCCCCAAAAAATTACAAGCTGGGCCCAGTGGTGAAAATTATCCCCTGTCTCCATCAGTTGGTGCTCCTATACACAGTCTCTGGATATGGCAGTCCTATTTTCTGTTTTTATGACTGACATCCATTGGTAAGGCTATCATTCATCAAATTGCCTAATGATCTTAAACACTATTTAAAACTGCTGGCTATCACCAAATCTTACAGTAACAAAGCACAGAATTTAATGTAAGGTATGAGGAAGTCTCTCTTTTGTTTGTCTTGAATCCACTGCTAAGAAATTTTGATTATCCCAAGAATTCATTTTACAAGAGAATCTTTTCACATGTAATTCTCAGTATTCCATCCATTTCTTTAAAAATCTCAGTCATTTTGGCCTTTTGCTGTTGTCTTCTTAAGCTAAAAAAAGATGTTAAATACCTTTGATAATTTTAGGTCCTCCTCTATACTGCTGCTAGGTTTACCGTATGCTTTTAGATATATAAATATATTGTCACATTATTATCAAATTCTTTTGTGGGATTTTTTAATATAATCTGGTTTGGGAGACAATTTGCTCTTAAAGGCAGCCTAGATATATTTTGAAAGTACAATCCTATACATGTTTTTTTTATTTATTTAAAGCTTTTGTATGCCATCCTATTATACAAGATCTCAGGACGGCTTACAATATTTAAAAAGACAATTAAAACAACAATTTCAATAAATAATAAAAAAGAACAAAACAATAAATCACAAAACAAACAGAGCGACTAAACTTTAAAACTATTAAAGTTTAAAATACCATTTAAATAAAAAGAAAACAGTTCAAATAGAAAAAAATCATTCAGCAGCTCTCAACATTCCCCACCCAGCCATGCTGTCTAAGTAAATTAAATAAACTCGTTGTAATTCATATATTTGTATGCAGGCTTCTATATTTAAGGTGGTTAATGATCTCCATAATCTCAAAATTGTAGAAATTACGTATCCTTACATAAACATTTCACTCCATGTACTCACTGACAAGCTATTTTGCTTGTCTAAAGGCAAATCCCCATTGAGGTCTGCCTTAACCACGTAATTTACACTCTGATCTAAATACATGGTATGGAAGTTGTTCCAATAAATTCAACAGAGCTTGTTTGGATAATGCTGTTAGGAAAGGGCTTATCAACAAACCATCCATTAATCATTTACTTGAGTGTCATTTCACTGAAGTTAATTAACAACCCCTGGACACTGGGGAGTAACTTTACCTAATAATTAAGGGATTTCCTGTATAATATACAGAGATATACATAGTACAATACTGGGATGGAGAGAAGCATTGATTAGCATAAGAAGGCCCTGCATCCTACCTGAAAAACAAAGGTCTCATTGAAAACAGGGTTGAGCGTCTTACGGTAAACTTTTGTTTCATACTTCTTCCTGATATCAGATGTCAAGTAGACAAGCACGTACGGATCAGAGGTACCTCCACTGTCCATCGCCTTCAAGTCTGCTGCCTGTTTCACGCCAACCTTCATCTTAAAGATAATCAGTGCCAATATATTAGCATCATCATATGGCGATGCCTATAGAGTTTGCATGTTCTCAGATGTTGCAGGCATGGGCAACAATTGGAGTGGAGAAAAGGAGGGAGAGGACTCCAGAAGAAGAAAAAAATGTTTATAGTCCCATGTTTTAGAATATCTTTCCTCTCGGTGGGGTATATAGTGCTCCTTAGGAAAGATTTTCTTCTGCGCTGGGCCTGCGAATATATGTGCGCACCTGGAGTTTTCTCCCTCCCCTTTCCTGTTTATGGGGCCAACCTCTTTTTTTCATTAGTTTCTCAACAAGAAGGAGTGGATGAAGAGCCAGAGATGGAAAGGTAAAGAGATCTTCATCTCTCTGCTCCTGCTAGAGGGCTGTTTTTAGCCATCTAGCAATGGTGTTTCCAAGGGGGGAGAGACGGGTGCCTCATATTTGTTTTCCCTCTTTCTGAGGTTTGTTTTACCAACTATGCAAAGCAGCTGATGCAATTCTTTCTATGCTGGCTGTGAGGGGGTTCCAATTCACACATCTCCAACCCTGATGCTGTGAATCCAACCTGCCCTATGGTCCCCAGGGGCTGCCTGATAATTCCCTAAGTGCAAGAAAGAACTACAGTATTTGTTCTATGAAAATAATGGATTCAGAACACTGGGAAGAGATGGGTCCTTGATGAGATAATAGAGCTTTACATTAGAAGAGGAACACATATTGCACCCTGGGATTTGTGGATCATACCTCTTGACTACGGAAGTCATACTCCAGGGAATACTGCAGTCGTCCTCGTTTCTCATTGTCCAGTCCACATTCTATGTCGTCCATGTCAGGTTGAACCTAAGTCAAAAGAGCAAAACCCTCTCTTTATTCTGAAGATAAAAGAGACAGTTTGCTAACACAGCTGCAGCCCTTGAAGCAGATGATCAGTTCAGCAACTGGCAGTGCCAATGAAAAATACAGTTGCTGCAAGTGACATAATAAAGAACACCTACTGTGGAATCAAGCGGGGAAAATTAGACTCATGCAGGACTCTCATCAATGAACACCTTCCAGATTCCATGCAGGACTCCATTCACGAATCAAAAGATAAGAAGGATGAACATTCAAGCTGCTCTGTCATGCCAGCTGCTCCCAGACATCCGATGTCTTAATTTTTCCTATTTCCTCTACTAGGTCTATGTGCAATGCACAGTAGCAAGTGCAGCTGTAATACCCCCAAGTTTCCATGGGAAAGTTTCCATACTAAGCTCCCTTCCAATATCTTTATTTTGGGCGCATCCCTGTTACTTCTGAACCAAAACTGCTTATAATCATGGCAGTTTGGAATCCAATAGCTAGACCTTCACTTCTTCCCGCTTACAACCAGCCAGCCTCTCATTCAATGGATCAGAGGCTTTTATTTCCTTGCTTTTTCCAATAGAAAAGGGTCTGAAAATTGGTAGTTGAGTTGCTGCTAATCTCATCCCCTACTACAACTTGTGACCTTCCAGATGTTTTGGTCATCTCTTCCAGGTTCAGTCACCATTAGCTATTTTGGCTAAGGCAGATGGGAATTCTAGGCCAAGACATCCCTACGGAGGCCAGCTGGACAGTGCAATAAATGTTGCTGCTGCTGCTTTTCTCTTCCTGCCTTGCTACTTCATTCTATCATCTCCCACAATACTTTGCTGAAACTACAGAGGAAGAGACACAGAGGTTTCACTGCAAAGTCCTCATTGGATGAACTCTGCTTGAAGTTTATCCTCAACTTTCTGAGTGCAACATTCCAGCTCTTGAAAGTGAGCTGACCCACCTTGGCCATGGCAGGACACAGCAATGGGAAGAACTTACCAGACTGGCAGTGGTGGAGGAGCCATTGATGTTGGCAAGGTTGAGTTTCTCCTTCTTCTTGTGCTTCTTTCTGCAACAGCAGCACTTGATCAGGCAGATGAGGATGAGCAGCAGGACTAGGCCCACAGCGACTGCGATGGCTATGAGAGCCCATCTGGGTACTGTTACAGCATTAGGAGACAAGGAAGGTGCTCAGTTTGACTCTTTTTGTAACACGGAGCAGCCGGGCTGGTGACCTCCAGGTGTTATGGACACCAGTTCCTAACACTTCAAATTAGCATGGCCAATGGTCAAGGATTATGGGTACTGTAATCAAAATTATCTGAAGGGTACAGCATATCAGTGAGGCATCTTGGCCAAGGTCAGCATTTCTGAAATGGAAGTATCTCTTCCAAATACCAAATGTTTGGAAGAGATACTTCCAAACAAAAACAAAATTAAAAATAATCAAGACAGGAAGACCATAACCTTAAGGGCACTCAGGCAATAGGAACTCCCCCCCCCCACACCATTTTTTCATATCTTTTTGGGGTGCTTTCCTATTGCTAGCAAGCAAAGGGCATTGTGCAGCTATTATGTCTAATGCTCCTTAGATTATTTGTGGGGAGGATGGGTGGAGAGGGAGAGGGGAGACACTGGGAAAATTTGAGAGCAAAGTTATTGTTGGCTAGACCCCTCATCAAGTTCTGTGAAAGCGTCCCAGCAATCACACAATAAAAGCCTCTTCTTAGAAGTACCCTTCATTTCTTTCACAAGGGGCTGGAGTTTTCTTTCTGACTTTATTAATGGGAAGAAACCAGGCCAGGTGCTTATCCCAGAACCATCACAAGTATCTTCTCACGTTTTAGGAAGACTGAGGAACATTTGCTTTTAGTTATACTTACAACTACCAGCAGATGGCAGCCTTCATTGCATCAACAGCCCGGCTTTTCCTTAGAGGAAATATTTTTTTCGTTTCTGCCAACTGTGTACTGCATCCTCCCCATTCACACAGCCAAATAATGTTTTCTCTTACCTGACCCTGCCAAAGTCATTTGTAGGGGATTTTAAAAAGAAATGGAAAGAAAGCAGCCTAAAGAAACACACTTTTGATCATCTTTCATTAAACAAAACCAGGAAGGCATGGGTACAACTTCTTTTCACATGACTCTCCATTTCCCTTTTAAGATGACAGAGTTTCACAGTCCGCCATTCTTTATTCTTAGTTCCTCACATGTTTTATGGGGAAAGGTCATGTTCAGGTGATATTTTGACACATGTGGCCCTGAGAGAAACCCTGAGGCTGCAAAACCCCTATACGAACACATCCTTGAGCCAGGTTATCTGAGCGATGAACTGTATGATTACAGTAATTGTGTACATGTGTCAGCTTTAATGCAGCCATGACAGAAGGGAGCTATTCTTGTTTATTTGTGCTACCACAATAATATCCTATTGTTTTTCCACTTGCAAAGAGCTCATGTTAACCATGCTACAGTCCCAAAGGAAACTGCCCACACTAACCTCCAAAGGGGGGAAAAAAGAAAGAAATTCCCAATTCCTGCTCAGGAAAGAAGCTGACATTGAAAACTGCTATGGTGATATTGGTCAAGTCAGCCTAATCAGCTTCCCAGGACTGTTCTGATGATAAAAGGGGGCAATGGTGGTTGAAGACAGATTGACTCCATAAAGTTGAAGATGGATTGACTCCATAAAGGAAGCCATAGCCCTGAGTTTACAAGGGATGAACAGAGATTTCAAGGACAGAACATTTTGGAGGGCCTTCATTCAGAGTGTTGCCATAAGTCAAAAATGATTTGCTGGCACATAATAACAACAATGGCAATGCACTAGAAGAATGAATGTGGGAAAGACTAAGTGGGGATGAACATGCAGGCAAGTCAGGGACCTCAGGGGCACACGGCTGACAGACAACAGATAGGGAGAAAATTGGACAGGTAAATATGGAAAGACAGAAGGACTGTGGACCACAGAAGCCAAAGAAATGAGGGGCTGAATGGGCTTGGGCACACTGATTCCAACTAACCAACTGAGTAATTGCTCCATGTATGTAGGGCATTTTCATATTTTGGAGGCTATAAAGAGAGAAAACAAAGACTTTACAGCAATGGAGCCTTGACCAAACTCCCCCAGCAATTCTGTTGTTGTAAGTTCTGCGTCTGAATAGAAGAAGATTAATGAGTCCAGGCCTACCTCTGAAAATTGCCTTAATAGTCTTGGCAAGGTTGCAAGAGATCTCCTTCTATAGGCAAATACAGGTGCTATGTTGCTGTGGGAACTAAATAGTTGCCCAATGGCTCCTGGGTAGCCATAAAACCATTTCCTGGAATGCTTGAAATGGGGAACTCTGCAGAGTTTATAGCAGACCTTCCCTACAGAACTAAGGAAGATGTGGTCTAGGTGTCTGCTTGTGAAGAAAAACTGCAGTTTGAGTCAGGGCAGATTGTGGGAAACTGAGATGAACAAAGAAAAAAGAGGTTCTGGACTCTCTCAGCATCTCAGGAGGCTGCCTCCCTACCAATCTGCTGTAGGATCAGTGGACTTTGGTCATCTATTGATATGCTTAAGCTGTATCTCCATCTATGCTCCACCTGTGTATTTGTAAGTAAATGCAAATATTACAATTAGGTCCCAGTGACTTATTTTGACAGGAAACTAAACCCTGGAACTTCCCGCCATTCAGAGACATCGGCTGAGCATAATGGTGCATCGTCTCTGCATTTGGTTTAATACTACTAACTCTTGAGTTTACTCACACGGGATTTTGTTAAGGATGCCTTCAATGATGCTTGGCTGGCTGGTGGTCACAAAAGGGCTTGTTGTGATGTTACTGGGACTGCTGGGTGCAGCAGTGATGCCAGAGACTGCTCCTTTAGCCATGGCTTAGGGAAGGTGAGCTGGAAAGGTAAATGGAAGAATTATTGACAAGACATTTATGAATGTCCAATTTCAGCCATGCAGAGTGCAGTTTATGATAACAGCCTAATATGAGCCTGATCTCAGTATCAGGACCAATCTTCTGTAGTACAATCCTATATGTGTTACTCAGAAGTAATTCCATTTGCATTCAATGGGACCACCTCCTATACATTCCTACCTCTAAGGCAGGTATGTATAGGGTTGCAGGCTTAAACAGCAGGGGTGCACTTCTGGATGTCAAGTAGGGGAAGCATAACCACTTAGAAGGAAAACGAATGCCTATCACACCCTTCCTGATCTCCAGAAAGGTTACTCCTCCAAGAGAATATATTTGCTTTGCTCAGCCAATGAAATAAAAACTGTAAATCATCCTGGAAGCTGGGAGTGTTTCCAGATTTGGAGGAAAGAAAGAGAAAGGTGGGGAGAATATATGTGCAGGGGAAGAACCTTTAAGAAGGGTTTAAAAATAATTTTTCGAATGACATCTCCAAATCCCAGTCTGGATATCACAAAGCACATCGAGTTTTCCTTAGAGAAAAGAGCATGTTGTCTTCTGACTTGCTGCCACCCGTTCTATCATTTGAACAAGGTGTGGAGGTTAAACTCCTCCCTGGGAACACATGCACAGAGACCACACCAAATCAGTGCGGCAGATGCGTCATCCGTTTATCTTGGCTCCCTTTTCTTGTCCACTCACCGTGAGCGTTAACATGCCTGCACGCCATCAAGAGATGCAGCTGGCAATGGCGAGCCATGTTACTCAGTCAACATAAAAATGATTCTTCTGACAGCAGAGATGGCTCTTAAACTTCTTTTCTGCCTCAGGGCCCGGGAGATTAGAAACATTTGCAGGCACAGAGGGCAGGTTCACAGGACACAGGAAGCATTTGGGCTGACGAGTCATGCATGTGGAGTCTTTGCCCTGCTGGCTGCAATGCTCCCATCAGGCAAATCTGGAGTCATCACCCACTCTGTCTTCAGGCAGGTGTCCTGGGGAAACTGCAGGAGGACTGAGGTTTCCCCAGCTCCCTGCCAGGACCACAAAGCAATTTTGGGCTGCTGTGACTTGACCGTTATTGTTTTAAGGATGGGATGATTGTGAAGGCAAACAAAACTCTCAAGCTCTCTTTTGCAAGGGACATTGATGCAGTCCCCCTCCAAGGACCCCTGGCAGTTTCTTGCAAGAGATGCCCTCAGTTCCCCTGCCACAAAAAATTACAGAGATTATGTGTGCAAATAATTGTGCTCCTTCCCCCTTTCAGAAATGGGGCAGGTAGGGCTAACAGCTGGGGGACCCTGGGGTTGATCCCAGACAGTAGGTGGCTGCTGGGTGAAACAAGCACTGCCTCCCACAGGTGGCAGGTAATTATTTCCTCCCTCCCCCATTTGGCAAGCACCTGTCAAGTATGCCAGCTCAGGACCAGGCAGCCCTTGGCAAGGCAAGATTATGCTTTGTGGCAAGAAGCTCTTTCCACCCCCTCCGCAGCACAATCTCCAGACTTTTTATGGGGGGGGGGGAAATCAGGTGTCTCTGCTCGTAGTTGCCCTTCATATTTGGCAAATGCCCCCACACTGGTAGCATGGGGGAACCTGCAAAACTGGAAGGTCAATCCCAGTGAAAGGAGGCAGGGCTTCACTCACTCATCATGTGCCAAGTGTACTTACCCCCTGCTCGACTGCGTTTTATCCACACAGAGGGGACACTTGGAACCTGCATGGTGAATTGAGAGGATGTCTCTCAGATCTGGCTTGCTCTGTGCTCCCTTCCTTCCTTGCTTCTTCTTAGGAGGTCCCAGGTTATCCACACTTGGAAAAATAAGGGCAGTCCAGGTCTCCATAAGCACCCCAATCCCCCAGCCCCAAGATGTGCTGCCAAGGGTGCTTCTCCCACTAAGCCCCTCTTTTTTACAGTGCCTTCTACATGAGCTGTGCAAAGTGATACAGCCTTCCTTTTTGGAACACGCACTTGTTGATAGGCACAAATCTTGAGGAGAAGCTTCTGCTGATACAGTTTGGTCCTGGGACAGTACAGTATCAAAATGTCAGTATACAACTGCTCTTTACCACTCATTTTTAATTGCACACACTCCTCATTTTCAGGTGTTTTGAAAGGTCAGAACTGAGTGTGCCCCCATTAAGCAACCCATGGTTAAACAAAGCAGAAAATTGGTTTTGAATCCGCACTCTCTGCCTTTATCCCCAAATGCAGGACAGGGTGCTTTGCGGGAGAAAGACATTCATTTTAAAGGGAGGTTGAAAGCAGAATGGGGTGATGCATCATTTCTGATGTTGCACACACCCCTTTGAGCAAATGCACCACAATTGTGACTGCATTTTGCAGGTAGATGATCGTGACTTTTTTAAACAAAAGAAAAGCAGATTCAGGAGAGGAAAATGTACAGAAGAGAAGAAGCAGGAGTGGGAAAGGATGCACCACTTTTCCTCCACCCACTGTTTCTCTGCTCCAAAGACACCCCCCCCCCCCTTTCCTCCTATAAGGCACACTAGGAGTGACAGTGCCTCTGTCATTCTGCCTTTAACCATCTACCAAAAATACGTCTGTCTTGACCTGTCATTCATGTTGTTAAAACCATTTCGCACACGGCATCGACTCTTAAAGCCATTTCATCATGGACATCCTTGGCAGTCACAGTTTGGTTGTAGGAGATACCTCTGGAAAAGTCTCACCGGTGCCCTCCCCAACCCTCTCATGTAAACCATTTTGCATAAAAGAAGTGGATCCCCTCCCTATGTTTTGGACTGCAGTTCCCAAAATTCCTAACTGCTTGGTGACACTAGCTGGGGCTGATGGGAGTTGCCCTCCAGGCGGCATGGACTTCACCAGTTTGAGGCAAGCAGTCCTAGAAACGGCATATATGAAGCAGCTTAGGACAGCTGTGCAGTCCTAATCCCCTTCCTCCAGTACAAGGAGATCATGCCGCTCTCCCTGTTTCGAATGCATGCCAGAAACATGACGGGTTAGCATGGTCAGAGCACCCTGCTGGGAGCCCTCAGGCATGCCCCCCCCCCCAGGGGCTCCTTTCCCTTCCTGCTTTTCCTGCTGCAGCTGCCACCCACTCCCTCCCACAGCTAGCCAGCATCTTGGCCCACTGCAGGAGAGGCCTGCAGACACAGGGGCACCAGAGCCAGATGGGGCACCTCTTTCCCTCTCTGAAGAGCTGCACCAGCCCCTTTCTCCTGCTGACCCAGCTCTCCGGGAGACAGGAAGTGGCAGCAGTGAGTGGAGGGCTGGGAGGGATAAGCCCCGCTGAACCGGTGGGGACTCAGGACTACCCAGCCATACCCAGATGCTGGGCCAGTGCACTGAGCCACATGTTCCTCTCCCCTCACTCCTCGATGCCTTAGCCCAGCAGCTTGAAAGGCAGCTGGTAATCATGTCTTCAAGACGGTGACAATGTACTGTGTGTGTTACCAAGCCACGAAATAATTTATGAGGTGCATGAAAATCATTTTCACCTTCACTTCCTTCCTATGCAAAATGGCTTGAGTTAAACCATGCTGAAAATATTAATTCACAGTTTCTTGTTTGCGTGAATCCTTGAAGCATGGTGCAATCAGTTCTCTGACTAAGGCCTCCAGTTTATATGGCACCGTACCACAAACTAAGTTTAGGACTGCCCCATGGCATATATTCCCGTGATCAGGGGACTGACCCCTCCACTGATGGGATGCAGTGCCACCACCTAGAGGACTCTCTCCTGCCCATGTGGCAGTATTATTTGTGTGGCCCAAGGCGTATGAAGGCGTATTTCTTTTTTCCTTTCTTTGTGATTCTCATCAGCGTTCATCTGTATTGCTCGGAATTATGCTTTTGATTTGAAAGACCTGAACAATCTTTCCATAGATATGTCATAGGGGTACTCCGAAGCTTAATTTGGGGGTTCAGAGATATATAAACTTTAAGTCCTTATTCGATTTATAGCCGGGAGCTCTATTTTGAACTAAGGATCTGGGAACCAGTAATCAACTTCAGCCTCATTTGCACTCATGGTACACCATGAGTCTGGAAGCATGAATCCTTTTTCAAGCAGGGACTTTGTCAAGTTGGATCTAATTTCTGAAATATGGAAAATGTAAAAAATTAAATTACAATTTAATTTTAATTAAATTTTGATTCTTAAGAGACTTAGGGCGCAATCCTGTGCGAGTTTTGACATAAAAAGGCCTATAGCTTCCAACATGCCTTAGGATGTAATTCTGTGGCTGTTAGACACTGCCCAGCTGGCCATAGGAAAAGCTAGAGCCCCAGGTCCAACCTTGGAGAAACATTCCAAGGTCAGAGCTCAGGCGCTGACTTAGAAGCACCTTCATTGCCAGCATGGTTCTTTCTGCTACGAGTCCAAAGTCAGAGGCAGTGCTGGGGGCCGGGCATTTTCGGGGGTGGGAATGGAGGACTAAGGCACCCCTTTTCTGTGAGGAATCCTAGCAGTTCCTTCAGCTTCTCTCATCGTGAGCTGGTATAAAACATTTAGACAGCCAAAATGCTCGCCCCACTACTGCTCCTTCCCTCCTTCACCAGATGCCTGTAATCCCCTGAGTTTGGAGGGTTATGGACAGCCATACTGGGTGGCACTGTCAAGAATGCAATTTTATGTATGTTTAGACAGGAAAAAAAATCCTAGGACTCTCAGGGTTCCCTGGCTGCCTTAGCTGACTGAGGAAAAATTGGGGATGTAGGACTTAAATTTGCATGTGATTGTGACTTCTAACACACCATCAGAATATGCTGCTTTACCTAATTTTATTTTTACCTTACAATTCTTTAATGATTTAAATGGGTGGAATAGTTTCTGTAAGTACAGACAAGATTACACAAACAGCTTTCTATATTAAATGTTCATTGAAAATGGAAGTAACATGACTTACTTCTTTTGACTTCTGTTCATCATATTATCTCAGCAGAAGCTGGGTTTTAGCCATTTCTCTTCCCTGAATGGAGC